ACACCCTATAGCAAAAACCTCTCAAAAAAAAAGTATGTCTTAGATTGTGAGATAAAATTAATATACTTAGATGGATACAACAACAGTGCTCTGTGCACAGTGTCAATGTTAGCTATTATTGTTAGCAATATGTGTTACTGGGTTGTTGGAAAAGTCAGAACACATTTTTGCATAAGAAAACAGAAAAAAAATACATCATGACTTTTCCAACAACCTAGTAGATGAGGAAACCAAGGCTCAGAGAATTTAAATGCCTTCCTTAGGATCCCATAGCCATTAATATGATCCATATTATCATAATTCCTAGGCCTGAGATTTCATCTTTATTGTATGACTCATTCCCTAGGCAAAAGAGTCAGTATTCTGTAACTTGAACATAACAGAGGATGCTCCCTTTCTTTCAGCAAGTGTCTTAGGTCTCTGTAGCACAACTTTACTACAGTTTGAAATAAGAAAGTGCTTTCTGAAAGAAGAAAATCAGTAATGATTCTTCTCAGTGTTATTTTTGTTTTATTTTGTCAGACAGATGTCTGCAGCAGCCCTGGAAGACACATTGTCTAATGGTTTCATAATGAACCCTCTTAAAAGAACTTGGAGCATGGCACTACTGTCTCTCAGGTTGCCATTATGCTCTTTTTGCATGAGCTTTTGTTATAGCATGGCACATTGAAGTTTGACATTGATATTGAAATATTGACAATTCTCTGTTTTTTTTTTTTCCTGAATATAAGGATTCACATGTCTCTAATTCTCCTCCATAATATTTTTCTAGTTTCCTCTTTCACACATTAAGTGCACATTAATTTTATTTCAAAAAGACAAGACTGAGAAAAATATTGACCCCAGTATGTAGGTTTTCCTGTTTTTTTTTTTTTAAATTTTAATTAAAAGCCATCAAGATCTCAGAAGTTGAAAACTAAGCAATAGCTATTGTCCTATAAATATTCCCTTCCTACTTCTTTGCTAGCATCTTTCCTGTTCTTCCTCCCAACCCCTGCTATGCTGTAGCAAATAAATTACAGAGTTGGTGTCAAGAGATATTCTTTACCTATTATTTTGTTTAGGACTCCCTATTATTTTGTTTAGGACTGATGTAGACATGGAATCCAGTGACAAGCTAAATGGAGCCTTTGTTTCCACTAGTCCCTCAATGGAAGACGTATCAACAGATAACTGAAGGGTCTTCCTTCACTCCTAAATCTGTTTGCTTCTAAGTTGTCTGTTTGCTGTTCCAAGTCTTTGGTGTAGACTCAGTGGTCTCTCTGACTGTCAATGAGCTCTTTCTATGTGTTCCTTTGTTAGTGCCTTCTTGTTGCTTCTACCCCCTCAGTTTCCATTAGTAAAGCCAACCATGAGGGCACCCATCCAACTTATCTACCCCAGCTCAGCCAACTCATTTCAGTTCTCACAAATCTCAGGAAAGGCCTCATTGGGTGAGGAAGTGATCCCAGGACTCTTTGAGAAAATGGACCCTTAAATTCTGGCATTATCTTCCTTTTATTAGAGATGTTATTTCTTTTACGAATCACTGAGGAACTTCCTTTGACATCAATCTGCCTTCTGTGTTCAGGTTTTAATACTTTTCCTTCCTCTATTCTTTAATGGAATCAGTTCTATCAGGGCCAGTTAGGGCGGCACAGGGAGTAGGGTGTTATTCTTCAATGGAGGAGTCACATGGAAGACTCACGTTTAAATCCCAGGTCTGAAACATGGCAGGCTTGTGCACCCATTTGCGCTGACTGGAATACTGGGGGGTGAGGAGGAAATCACAGCATAATGAAGCCTTGTTAAGGGGACTTGTTTCTCTCTCCCATGAAAGAAATAAAATAAATTTAACAAATAAGAAAGAGAAAGAAATTGAACTCTCTAGTGTTTAGAATGCAATTTTGAATAAGCATTTCCATATCTTCCAAAACATACTCCATTATTACTGGGCTCTATTATTATATATATATATATATATATACATATATATGTTTATTCATGAGAGGGAGTTGACTTAATTGTTTGCAGAAGAAATGGAAGTTTTCTACTAAGTTTTATTAGACAAATCATACAGTAAAATGACAATGCTATGTACATGCATCTAGCACTGTTTGTTAATTGGCCTCCATCAATACATGGCAACATTTCTCTTCCTGGCATCTCTCGCAAGATGTCAGCTAGTCAGCTGAACAGAGAGGCAGGATGGCCAAGTGGTTAAGAGAATGGGCTCTGGCATTAGACTGTCTAAACCTGACTTTCTGTTCTGACATTTAGTAGTGTTTAGACTTTGAGTGAGTTGCTTGATCTCACCACAATCAGCTTCACCTATAAAATAAGAAAGATCAAAGTAGTCATACCTACCCAGTCACTTTATAGGCTTTTTTGAGGATTAAATGAATTGATACATACAACTACCTAGAAAGTAGCTGGAATAACAACTATATAAATGTATGCCACTATTAGTATGCAGCTGTGCTTGACCTGAGAATGACTGTGACTCAGAGCCAAAAAAGAAGGTGAGTATAAGGTATTTTGCATTGACTTCTAGGACAATGACATAGTACTAAAATGCTTCCTCCAGAAATATACTCATACCTTGGAAGCTACAATTGAAAGCCATTACTTTTCTGGGTTAATCAGAACACATCGTCTTTGATTATTTCTAAAATTAATTGAACAGTCATTAATCAAGGAGCCAAGGAGCTGAAATGAGGTATTTCCAAAGTCTGGCAAATTACAGTTTTCTGATGTATTTCTATTTGTCTGTAATTTAGGAATCCTATTTTGGACAAGGTTATAATTATATTTACATGCTACAGAATTTTAAAATTTTATTAAGTTATTATGACTCTATGGCTGATGAAGGTTTTGGTAAACTCCATGATAATGATGAAAACTACACATGAAACTTTGTTTTATTTTATTGTGTTTTTTTTGTGACCAATAGGTAAAAATTTATGTTAGAGCATTTTTTTTTTTTTTAACAAAATGGCAATTGCTTTTTTTTTTTTGAG